TAATTTATTTCCAAACATTCGCATTCATATTTTCAATCACCGTAATTACTTGTCTTGTCATGTTTTTGTCGCGTATGCAGAATTTCTATATTTTTTGTCTTTGTTTATGTATTTCCTGGCAAAACTAACTACGATAACGGAGCCTCTCATCGTCCAGATAAGTATGTGTGTACATTTGTTTAATGGCCGACACACGTGGACGCTACCTTAGCAAACTCTTAGCAACAATGTAATTGTTACCTATTTCCATCTCAAGGACGTGATAATGTTATTTACACTCAAGGAATCACGCCGCGATTGACACGAGTACATTTGCGACATGAAATAAGAGAGCGTCGGTGGCTCAGGTGTTAAGTATTTAACTTATAATCTGCGGGTCCTGGGTTTGAATCGCATAACATTTATAAATTATCCGACGTTCTTACGATGAAAGAAAACATAGTAATGCTGCAAATTAAAAGTGGGTAGTTAACCAGCACTGAGTCAGCATGGTTATGGCGTAGTCACGTGGGGACGTATAGTGAGCTGATGATGATGAATCAAGAAGGGCGGTATTAAGAGGTTCTGGACGTGCATGTATGGATAGATGTATGAAGTAGCGAGAAACTGTACCACGCCATATGGAGGTCCGTGGTCTCTGCTTACTCATCCTCATTTTCTAAAGTTCCTATTCTTTTATTGATCTCAAGGATTGAATATTGATTTCGACTGATAATGATGACAAGAAATGTATCGAGTTTTGTATACAGAAATCTAACATGGCGCGGCCTCGTGGTCACTGGATATCTTTTGCGAATATTTGCACAAACTATTTGCGTAGATATGCTATATTTATGTTTGATACACGGACATATAAGACAATTTACTCTAGAACTACATATAAACTTTGTCATAGTATATTTGGTAACTATTTTGGAAAGAAAAAACAAAGTAGAGACAGACGGAGTCACGGGTAATAATTAGTATCTAAAACAAAGCAGCACTTTATAGTAATCAGCACAACTGACGATAATCTTAAATAAATATTGGAATTAGGAAGTAATTAGGGGATTAAAAATATGAATGCGAATGTTTGGGAGCACGGCGATGTTATATTTTTGCGATATTTTCGGAGTTATCATTTCCGCCACGCAATAGTACGCTTGCCCACTCACTATCTCTGTCAAATTGGCCATTTCCCTAAAAGATATAATAACAATGATAAGCAATTCTTTACACTTTTACTTTACTTTGTTTATTTATAAGTTGGTATATGTATTTTTTTTTATTTCTTAATTTGATGTAACAAATTAGTTAATAAGGTTTCACACGTCTATAAACAACCATGAACAAATAAGTACATTCTAGACCAACTAAAAATATCCACCAGGCTAGCCACTACATGCTACCGACGAGTCCTTGGATACTTTGGACATATTGCCCGGAGAAACCCCGACAGCCTAGACAAATTGGTTGTGGTCAGAAAGATAGAGGGTAAAAGGTCAAGGGGTCGATCACCTACTCGCTGGTCCGATCAAGTGCAGGCTATCTTCTTCTTCTTCGTATTCTTCATTACTGAAGGTCGTGCTTGTCCTGGTACGCTTCAACGGCCGTGTCGACCAGCTGCCTCCACGCCGTCCTGTCTTCGGCTTGTCTCAGGGCAGTCGTGATATTAAGTCCCAATATAGCCTTGGTATTATTAAGTAGTTAGAATTGCATGTGGCAAGAACGATTCTTCTAATGACAATTGCTTAAGAAAATATTCATTTTTTACATTTACATTTTTCTTCCGTTGTGCTGACAAAGTCACGGGCATTCGCTAGTATGTAACATAATCATCATAAGCTCTCAAATTTATTTATATGATTTATTGGCTAACTTTCATCTTACTAATATTTTAAATGCGACTGTTTGGATGGATCTGTGTTAGAAGGTATCTACAGAACGACTGCATGAATCTCGCTGAAAATCGCTGAAAAGTAGAGAGGCAATTTATTTCATGAAGTGTTGATATTTTTTGTAGGTTTTATATATTTTCTGAGAGAACTAAACGCCATAGCAACGCCTCTCTCTCCGACCCTGGTAAACTTGTCCTTTATGTCAAAATAGACATTCTGTCATGAAGACAAGTTCGTGTCAAATTCTCTCCGAAATGTTTGGAGATATTTTGTTTTCGAAATATTTACTATTTTTGATAATTTCATGCGAATATGCATCTTGTAATCAGCTATCCCGTGCTCGAAACCACATCGAGTACGGGCCCAGATCGGATCTGGAGCTGATAAAAAACTTGGACGACAAAACTTATGACGAACTAATGAACGAAGTCCCGATGCTGAAAAGAGTATTTCAAGGAAATAGAAAAGATGAAAGCTTCCAATTCAACTCAACCGCCTTGCCCATGTTATTCAGAGGAGAAATATTGGAGCGACCTCACGCTGCGCCGATCATGGTCAACTTTGATGACGGGTCGCGTTTCACCAGCTCCGACAGCCCCGCCACCATCCGGAACAGCACGTTCTCTAGCAAAGCCCCAGTGACGCTCAGAAGTCGCTGGCCCACCGTCAAACACAGGATAAGAGGCATGCTAGATGGGCGCCGCCAGTTGTTTCCTGGGTTTGGCTTCCGTATTCAAGACGTGACATTCACGGCGTACTGGTTCACCGTGTACCCTCATATAATATCCTGCTACTGGTGCGGCCTCAACGATAGCTTTGTTCCGACCAAGTCGATTTGTTACAGCATTTGGGACTCGGAAGATACTCGCATACGTGACTTAGGTAGATTCTTTCGAGCGCGTTGTCATTATTACGATTACTATCGCTACTATGACAGACAAATAAAAATGGTCCGATGGTACCCGGCCACAGTGGAATACGTTTACGATCATGGATTGAAAACATGTATGTTCGGTCCCTACATGAAGGGCTGCTTCAAGCGGTTCGTGGATGTGGGCCCGCTGTACACGGCGCGTGGTTGCCGCGGCGCCTTCTTACCGTGGCGTTCCTACACCAGGAGCGCAGCGTCGCACAGGCTTATGCGCTTGGAAATAGTCGCTCGCGGTCACGAAGACGTGTGTGTGCACAGCCCAGAAGCATCGTTGACGCCGTACAGTCGTGCCATCTCGCTTTTCGTGCGTTACCACGTGTGTGTGTGTGACAAGCCTTACTGCAACGTTTGCGCGCCGCTCTACGTGCCGCTCGCGTTGCCGCTCGGCAAGACACTTGGCAAATATTTCTCGACAACGGTCACTGCTATGCTATCATGCATCTTACCACTTATTACAATAAAATAAACGTGTAAGAAATATCTTTCTTTGTGCTTTGGTATTGCAACGCATCCCGGTTAGTATCCTACAAAAGTTAAGTGTTTGGTCTACTTACTCTTTTAAAGTAAATTCTCAGTGAAATCTGAAAAAAAAAATACTTGATATGAGTTTATACTCTCCTTAGATTTAAATAACTATAAGGCAGCTAGATTACACCTTCCCATTACTCTAAATTAACTCTTAAAATGGAAATATGATTTTATTAAAGATATTATAAGATGATAGCTCTCATCAAACTTCACTCAATTTAAAATGTAATCTCTTCAGAACCTATAATCTAATGTATATGGCGACCGATCTCGATTTATCATATCTAAATATGGATGGACTGTTCCAAAGAGGATATGCGTAGGGAGGAGGTACATGTATGGAGGAGTAGTATGTACATACTGTCCCGCTCCTCCGTAGGAAAAAGGCCAGATTGGTGAAAAAATAAATATACAATTTAAATTAGATTTAATATTATCAATGTCAATTTTAAATATTTACACTTTGAATACTACCGAGATTTAGACGATTGAAGAAATTTTTATGATGTCGCCTCTACGATGGTGGCGCTCTAAGGCGCTCTACGAAGCGCTTGTACGGGTAACAAGGCCCCTGAGTAGAGACAACACGGTCCTGCTGTGACGTGCGCAGCGGATCATGACTCAGAGAGCGTTGGAGGAGAGAAGGTCGCGAGGATCTCTTCCGGCGATGGGAGGAGAGGTTGGCGGATGCTTCGTAAGCGGCTTGTCGAGGCCGTCTGCTCGGTCCTGCGCCAGTGGGTGGAGACGAAACACCAGGAGCCGACTTACTTCCTGACGCAGCGTCTCACAGGGCACGGCTGGTTCAGCCGTTACCTGTGTAAGGTTGTCGGATCCCGGGTGCCATATTTGCGTGACCGGCGACGTGGACACGGCTGAGCACACGCTCGCCGTGCGCACGTGCTTCGACGCCCAACGCGCCACGCTCACTGGCGCAATCGGGCGGGATCTGTCGCTGGCCGCCGTCTATCGTTCGATGGTCGGCAGCGAACAGAGTTGGACCGCCGTTAACTCCATTGCACGGGAGGTGATGGCGGCCAAAAGAGAGGCCTTGCGGGAGCGAGAACGCGCCAAAGATACGCTCCCACCCCTCAGGGCTTCAGCAAGAGGCTTCCGGCGAGCGTGATACGCTGCGGCCCTACAGCCAATTTAAGTTGAAAGAGGACCACGCGCGACGGGTTGGGGGACCTGTCACGCCATGCCACGGCCCGGTCGGGCGAAGGAGAACACCGCGGGATTTAGTGGGTAATCCGACCTTAATCTCAGACCGGGAGTCCCACATGAAACCGTCCCTGCTGCCCCCGCAGCACAGACGGCATAGTGCTTCCCCGCGTTAAGAAAAAAAAAGAAATGTTTACGATATCTATATTTCTTTCACTGACTTCTACAAAAGGACAAGTTACTTGCCGTTGTATTTTGTGCCTATTTGATTTACGCCATTTTGGCGATGACGTTAGTGGTTGGTAGAGGGTTGCAGGGTGGGGAGGATTTAAACCAAATACTAGAGATAAAAAATAAGCCGTCAGTAACGTCAATAGGCGTGTTTATATATTATAAGTCGAAACGTAACAAAAGCTGTCATTCTCAAGCAACGACACATCCATTTAATAGAAATCAGTGACTTCTTTTTAATATATTAAAAAAAATCTTGAAAAAAGTGAAATTATGCAAACGTCACAAGTGACAAAGAATTTGACAACAATATGTTTGTTGACATTGTGAAGATAGTTTGTATATATTTGTTGATAGATAATGCATCTAGTTCGCTACTGTCTCGCATCCGCAACAGACATGAGTACATCCCGGACGCGGACCTCGAGGTGATCAGGAGCCTTGATGACAAAACCTACGAGGATCTCATGAATGAGATTCCCATCTTGCGGCAAGTTTTTAAAGGTAGTAGGAGAGATGGAACTTCCGGGGCGCCCCACACGCACGCCGACAGCGTTGCCGCGAAGTACCTTGCGGCGCCGACATCCGCCACCTTTGAAAAGACGATGACAACTGCAACACTCCCCCTTACAACTGAGCACTCCTTGTTACAAACAAGAACGAGACCAACACGGAGAACCCATTGGCCCCCGATCAATTACAGAGTTAGAGAATCGGAACGCGGGGAACAAGAGGACCTTGGCGAGTACGAGATGCGCGCAATTGACAAATTTCCGCATGTGTTCTCCTGCTACTGGTGCGGCCTCAACGACACCCTGCTGCCCAACACAACAGTCTGTTACGAGGCCTTCCAATCGCCGCAATACCGCCTCTACGGACTGTCGAGATTCTTTCGAGCACACTGTCACTTCAACGACACGCGTCACAGCACCCAGCATCGGATAAACCGTACTTATCCGCATTATTTTGAATTCGCAGATGACCCAGGTTTGAAGTTGATGGTTATCGGTCCATTTATGAAAGGCTGCTTCAAGCGCTTTGTGGACGTGGGCACGCTGTACACAGCGCGCGGCTGCCGCGGCCTCTACCACCCGTGGAGGTCATATACGCGAAGCTTCGCATCCCACCGCCTCGCCAAGTTGGAGATCCTGACGAGGGGCTTCGATGACCGGTGCGTGAGTAGCCCCGAAGCCTCGCTGACGCCCTTTAGCCGCGACATCTCGCTCTTCGTTCGCTACCACGTCTGCGTCTGCTCGAAGCCTTACTGCAACTTGGCTGCGCTTCACCATATCGTTCATGTTTATCACACAATACTATTATTGTTTTGTTCCAGAATGTATGTATTGGTTTATAATTTAATATGAACTGTTGTTTAAACATATAGCAGTATATTGTTATTACGTATTTATAATGTTAGATATTTAGAATAACTCTTATACGCTAAAAATTTTGCTCGTACGATGTTTTTAAATAACTTAATGGAATGTTATTTAATAAGATTATTTATAATATTGTTTAATTAATATTGTAAGTTATGAATATAATTTTAATATTGTATTTTTTTTTAATTTAAAATATGAGCAAAAATATAAAATTCCTGCCATGAGGACGCCATAATCACAATTAACGTTTTACTCGACCATGTGGAGGGATTGAATGGATGGAGGAAAGAAGTTGAGCACGGCAACGCTACAATAACAAAGATATGCCGTGCCGATGGGAGTTTGTCGTGGAGACTGCGGGTACGTAACGCTTTAAATGAAAATCAAAAAAACTATTTTTTTTTAAATATATATACCAACATGGGTAAGTCCATCTATCTCCTCTGAAACATTAAGGTTTATAGATGTCCAAGTATTCCCCTTGTGAAAATTTTAATTATTTTTTTGTATTTGTGCAATCGCGCTGACAACAAATGAATGAAGTTGGACGCAAGTCAAACTAAATTATAAAAGCTCAGTAGCGCCCTCGTCACAATGAGAGAAAAGTGTCACGAAATTCTTTTCGTTTTGAAGCTGTCACGACATGTTGTACATATTTTCTAAGAATACGAACCGCGATTGCAACGCCTCTCTCACTGAGATCTATTCATTGACTAAACTTGTTTTTCTAAAAACTCTGTGTTCTAAAAACTTCTAAATGTCAAAAACATGCTACGAAGTTTGTGTCAAGGAGGTTTAGAGAATGTCGAGAGATATTTTGTTTGCTCAATGTTTATTATTTTTAGTAAATTGTTTTGACAATGTACGTTCAAATCAACAATCGCATATGCAACATCGTCCGCACCACGGCCAGGGATCCAGATCGGATTTACAAATAATTAAAAACCTTGATGACCAAACTTACCAAGAACTCATAAACGAAATACCATTACTGAAAAAAGTTTTTCAAGGAAATAGAAAAGACGGAAGCTTCCAATATAATTCATCTGCCTTGCCTATGTTATATAGAGGAGAAATATTGGAGCGACCTAATGGTCCGCCGATCATGATGAACTTCGACGTGACAACCCTCTCCCCGACAACGCCCAGGGGCTATCGCAATAACTCGTTTGCAAGTGTCAAGTCAATGACATACAGAACTCGGTGGCCCACTGTGAAACATGGGACGAGGAGCTTGTTAAACGCGCGCCGCCTTCGCTGGATGGACTTTACATTCACAGCGTACTGGTACACCGTGTACCCTCATATAATATCCTGTTACTGGTGCGGCCTCAACGACACCTTGATTCCGAGCAACTCGCTTTGCTTTACTGTCTGGGACGCTGAGGATACCCGCATGCGAGATATTGGCCGATTTTTTCGTGCGCGTTGCCATTACTACGATTACTATCGCTTTTACGACAGACAAATAAAATTGGTCCGATGGTACCCGATCACTATTGAATACCTGTACGATCTGGGATTGAAAACATGTATGTTCGGTCCCTATATGAAGGGCTGCTTCAAGCGATTCTTAGACGTGGGCCCGCTGTACACAGCGCGAGGGTGCCGCGGCGCCTTCCTGCCGTGGCGCGCCTACACTAGAAGTTTCGCGGCGCACAGGCTTATGCGCCTGGAAATCGTTGCGCGCGGTCATGACGACGTGTGTGTACACAGTCCAGAAGCCGCGTTGACGCCCTACAGTCGTGCCATCTCGCTCTTCGTGCGTTACCACGTATGTGTGTGTGATAAGCCTTACTGCAACGTTGGTACGCCACTCGCCCTTCCGCTTGGCAAGTCACTCGCAGCGTTCATCTTACTTTTAACAGTAATGCAATAAATCTTAAAGCTATTACACTCTTTTACTAAAATGAATGTGCCATCGCCGTGTGACGCTCCAGCAGCAATTCCATATCCAAGCGAATTTCCCTTAAAATTAAAAATTGTGCAAAATGTAGAGTTTCAGAGAAATTAGCTACAATAGAAGGAGATTTACACAACATATTGTCAGTTATTACTTTACAGCGGGAAACTACAGCTCGGTTGTCATAACTGTAGATTGATGAGTCATAGTCGGAACAAAAAAAATGGCCCGAGTAATAGACCTGTATCCAGTGGGTAACTGGCGTACACATAACCAAGATAATATAAAAAACTTCACATTCCTAATAAAATAAAAATTAGCCGCCACTCCTGACTCCGTCCGCGCAGTATTAACAATAACTTAATTAAAAGCCTATATGTCCCTCCAGACTATGTTCTACAGTTATGCTAAATTAGCTGTCGCCCGCGACTCCGTCCGCACGGATTAAAATAAAACATCATTAGTAAGTAGCCTATGTGTTTTGCCAGACTAAATTATATATCTATGCCAAATTTCAGCGAGATCTATTCAGCCTTTCTGGAGATACCTTCAAACAAAGATCCATCCACCCATCGAAACATTCGCATTTATAATATTCGTAAGAAGTATGATAACTAAGATTATATAGGATGTCCCAAAAGGTTACGTACAGTCAGCGTCATAAAGATCGTAACAGAGAAGATATGCAAATATATAGGTACACCGAAAGTCAATTATATCGGTACAACAAAAGTCCTCAAATTAATAGATACATTCACCCTGCTCAAATACATCGGTACATACACAGCGTCAAATATATGAGTACATGCAAGGTGCCCATAAATATCGTAGCAACCACAGCGTCATAAGTAACGAAGCAGTCAAGGTGTGCAAAAATATCGTAACATTTGACAAAATTGAACTCTATCTCTATACCCTTGTAGTACAATTTTGAATAAACTGCTTCTGTTAAAATCTTTTTTGTTTTGTTTGCCCCAGAAGGTGTAAAAGTTTTAAGTTTTTAAAAATGCCATTTTTTTTAATACCCAGACGGGAATTTTTATTTTATTTTTCTGGTGACCCTTGTGACCACCCCTATCATCCCCCTTCCTATGTACGTAACCTTTTGGAACATCCTGTATATTTAACAACTACTATCTGCACCGGGAGCCAACCGAAGTTACAAGAGGCACTCCTGAATTGGAAACACCAGTTGCAGGCCGCTGGCCTAGTGTTGAGTGTTGCAAAGACCCAGTACATGTCCTTTAACAATCCAAATTTAAGCGACCCCCGGCCGATTCCTTTATCACGTATCACTTATCGTCAATTAGCCACCATGTGCGATAAATATGAATATCTGGAAGGTATGATGCACATCTCTGGGAACCTGGAATGCAACATTCAACACCGAATAGCCGCAGCGTGGCAAAAATGGCGAGAATTAACTGGTGTTACTTGCGACAGAAGAATGCCAGTGAAACTCGAGGGTTTGGTTTTAAGTCCATGATAAGACCAGTCCTCATGTACGGCAGTGAAACGTGGGCCGTAACACAAAAGAACGTGAATACCATTCAAGTTGCTGAAATGAAGATCCTGAGATGGATGTGCGGCGTCAGCAGGCTCGATAAGATCCGCAACGAGTTCGTGCGAGGCAGCCTCGGTGTGCGCGACATCGCCGACAAGATGCAGGAGAGTAGGCTGCGATGGTATGGTCATGTAAGGAGGAGGCCGCCAGACTACATCGGTAATTTAGCACTGTAACTTTCCCTCCCTGGTCGCAGATCCAGAGGCAGACCCAAAACGAGATGGAAAGATGTAGTAATAAAAGACATGAGTGAGTGCCAAGTCTCAGAAGAAGATGTCATGGACAGAGCGAAGTGGAAGAGACGGATTTTTTTTTCGGAAATTTATTGTAGCGTTAAATTATAGCATCATTAAATCAATTTATTTAATTGACCTTGAATTGTTAAACAGTGTTGCTATGCGTGTTTTAGTGAGGCAATATTTCCATTTAGGAACCTCAGCGTTTTCAATACTAATAACGTATAATTTAGTTAAAGGAATACTTTAGAGGACTATTTTTTATAGAAGACAAATAAAACGCCAATCCACAGACATAACATATTAATTATCTGAAGATTTTGCTAAACATTTCTATCTATAATATTAAAGGAAAGTTGAGTTGTCAATTATACAAACAACTACCTATTTATTTATGTCAAACAAAAACTTAAATTAATGAAACATCTATATCAACTAGAAAATTTAGCAAAAAATGGTGTTATTACTAGCGAAACATTTTAAAATTCTGTGAATCCTAGAGTATTGCGAAGTTGTATTGCGATGCGTCATGGCGGCTGCACACGGCCGGCGGCCGGCGTCGCTGTGTCTAGCGGCAACATGCGAGAAAGAGATGCAACATACCTGGTTTAATACGTGCGAAAGAAATGGAGAACGTTATACAATTAATGCATAATAAAGTCTGTCTCTGTCTAACAAAATGTGTTAGAGGGAGTGAGTTAATGCGTTGCATTTCAAGGTCAGAACGTCCTTCAATCGACTCAGGGAGAAGGGTTACCACGCTTCGGCCTTTATTGGACACCACCCGTATTTTACAACGACATGAGTCAGAACTGCGCAAAACTTAACGCATATAAATACCTATTCACTTTAATAGCTTAACTGTTTAATTAATTTTAACGGAATATTTAGTATATTAATATTAAATAATTTCTCTCCAAAGTTTCTTCACCTCATTTTTAATCTTACAGTATTAAATAAAATTAAGATGACACGTAAAATTTACTATGATAAGTTTAATACTACCGGCAATAGATGCGCATATAATATCCAGAGCGATAAAATCCTATGGTTACCATCTTGGGTAGCCATTTGCAATTGTAATGGCGGGTACGGATATCAATTGACAGATCATTAGGCATGAACATGAACAATTGTACAAATGTATAGCAACACTACCATATAAGATTATAGCTTTGTGTCTTATATAATTACATCGAACGTAGTTAGTCTATTTAAATGTTATTAGGACAGATTAATTAATAATTCTTACAAGCGAACGATGATTAAATAAAACGGCAGTGTCTAATCGTTTCTTAATGTATTTTTGTAATTTAAAATTTGGTAATTTATTATTTTATCTGCCAAATAAACTTGACCCGAATCTTGTTAATTTCTAACCAACTTCCATATAAAAATTAGACAAGTCTTTTTCAGAATAATCTGACAGCAGGAAATGGGTTTAATTTTAATTGTAATTTTTATTAATAAAATATAATCTATGAGCAAGATAATAGTCGTTATAAACCTCTATTTTAAACCACTACAAGTGTTCTATTGAATTTATCGTCTTCAACAGCTAACATCTTAACTTCTATTGTAAAGGTGACCACCTGTTACCGTGGACTAATCCTGTTTAATCTATAATCACAAAAGGTGCCCCTCTGCACGACGAGACGAAAAAATATTCTATGACAAGCTAGTGATGTTGCCATTTATAAATCAGACCTTTGTAATATTAGGGAAAGTATCGATGATTTTACTTATCGATAGTTATTTTTTAAATAAATGAAAAACAATAACAAAGCGAACCTCTGCAATGCCTTAATAATGGTTATAACATTTAAATCAGCACTTTTATCATATTCTATTACTTACTAGTTGTCGCCCGTGACTCCTGTCGTCCGCACGGCTTTTAAAAGTGCATAGTCAGTAGCCTATGTGTACTTCCAGACAATGTTCTACATTTATGCCGAATAGCAAGGTCCATGCAGATTCAGCATTCTGGAGAAAGACGCAAACAAACATCCATCCATCCATCCAAACATTCTGATTTATAATATTTGTTCACGCGCAAATAAAAAGTACAATGTTATCAAAAAATATAAGTTTCGTTCTAAAAGGACTAGATGGCGCTGCGATATTTAAATGAACGCAAGCGTTTTGTTTTACAGTTGTGTTGTGATTACGCTTAACGCTTATTAAACGACTGATCCACCCGACCTTATTATGCTTCATTTATACAGGTCCCGGAGCTTTGTCGCTTCGTGTATAAAATTAGTAAGATACAGTAAAATATCGATTAGGAGTGTGTACAGCACTAGTGACAAGTTACGACAAGCTACTCATTTATTTTGCATAATTCACGCTAATTTGTATCTTATGCCGTTGTGATAACGTACAGTATTCTAAAGTTATTACAGAAAGACATTTTTTGCGACGAAACCAAACTCTGGTACTTGCGAGTTTCGAATCGTATTTTTTGCGGTGACACGTTTATATTGATTTCTTATGCGGGACACACCTAGCGAATACTATTTTTTTGTTACTAGTTTTTGCTTATACATTAATGTTTTGTGTATGTAAGAGTCACGTAAGTTACTGGTTCGATCCTTCCGTAATATCCATGAATATACGTGAAGTAAACCCATCGCTCTCCTGTACGTAGGGTTACCATATCGCCAAACGTAATAGCCGGACAGCCAGAATGGCCGGACATTTGCGTAGAAAGGTGGACCCTATATTATTGAGGATATTATCTCAGTATTAATTAGGTACGACAAAAAATATCTGTAAAAAGCCGAACAAAACCGGACAACTCCGACACTGTTTATTTTTGCCGGACACGCAATTAAAACGTCAGGATTTACCGGACGTCTGGCTACGCTACCTGTACGTATACTAATCCATAGCCTGTAGTTGGTTGGGTACACTTATTTTTATAATCTATGGTTGGTTCGCAACAACTATCACCTAACTATTATCAGCGGCTATTAGCAGACGTCTTCAATACGGAAGAGAGACATACTCAAGTTATAATATGTAGATAAGATAATGTGTCCTCGCTTAGCATGGAGTGGCGTCACAACAAAATATATAGATGGAAGGATGGATGGATGTTTTCTTGAAGATATCTCTATACTGATTGTTTGGATCTTGCTGAAATTTGGCATAGATGTAGAACATAGTCTGGAAGAATACATTGGCTACTTACTTTTTTAATTTCGGCGCGGACGGTGTCGCATGCGACAGCTAAAATATAGATAGATCGAAGAATGGATGGATGCTTGTTTGAATGTATCTTCAGAAAGGCTGAAATTTAGTATAGATATGGAACATATAAATAATACAATAATAATAATTTTAGTTTTTGTTTAGAGTGGTAGAGCCCGCTTTAACATCTTTGCACGAATCGGCCCGGCTCGCCTGGTGAAATACCACGACCACACAGAAGACACGCGTCAAGTGGAAGCTATTCCGCGTTTCGTCTGATGAGTGTGCGTCCCGGAGGCCTTCTTTAGTCCTCTTTCCCTTCCCACCCTTTTCTTATAAGGAAAGGATGGGAGGTGGAAGTGGACTTTCCGGATGAGAGGATGCATGGAAAGGGAAAATATTTTCTTTCTGTGCATCCTCTCCTCCATCGATTAAAGATAGGCAACGCATATGCAATTGCGTATGTCTATGGGCAACGATCACTTCGCTATTTCAGCGATTTCAGGTGACGGTCGCTCGTTTGCCACCTTATGATATATAAAAAAAATACATTTATACTGTTTAAGTAAATATTCAATGAATCTGAATAAATTAATTGGTAATTTAATCAACTTCATTTGTTTTAAGTAGCAAGTATTGCCCTTGTCCTAGGTCAGCTGCGCCGCTAGTCATAAGCAAACACTGACAGATGACGTCATGCTATACAAGTACCAACAGCGGTCACCTTTCTGTACATAACTTAGGAATAGTTATTTTAGAATAAAATAGAATCGATTTTATTGAATTACTTGTTTAATATTATTTTGGGTGTCCACTGCCACAATATCTATACAGGATGTCCCAAAAGGTTACGTACATAGGAAGGGGGATGATAGGGGTGGTCACAAGGGTCACCAGAAAAATAAAATAAAAAGTCCCCTCTGGATGTGATGTGGATGGATGGATGGATGGACTCCACTAATTATTTTTTTTATATATCCACGCAGACGGAGTCGCGGGCGACAGCTAGTTTATATATTAAATACATGTTCCACTATAGATGCTAGTAAAAATAGAATTAAATTAATAAATCAAAATAATTATATGTGGCCAAAACACTCGTAGTCATGGATGAAAATTTATAATGCAACGTCTTTTTTATAATTTTGTTTTTCGTAAAACGAGATTGCATTGTTAATAATTGTTAACACTTCGTTTTAAATATATTCAGTATTTATTTTTGAGTTCTTTTTCGATTTTGAATTTCATATAACCTTTAAAATTATGTACTTATTCAGTATTCATATTATTTATGGTTCTCTGCTTTATATTTGTCTTCAATTTGTTAATAATCTTATTATGATGATATCTGATTCATGTTCGTACAATAATATCCCGCCTGCCAATAGACTCCGGCAGGCAGAATGTCACAGTATCAAAAAGTGTTGCCATGTCATATCTATTTTTTTTTTTAATATAAAAAGTGTCGTAAAGTACACTAATTACCACAGATTCAACGCAAAACAATTGTAAAGTAGCTAATTTAGCCTCTTTATTTGTTAAGAAGCCATGTTCATTTACGAAACTAAACCACCGCGCCCACATAGCGCTATAAAACGCTAAGCGGCAACCTCGCAAATCAAATCTGTTCGCTTCTCTTTCGCTTTGCTAGCTTTGTCTCGCTTCGTGTCGCCTCGTGTCGCGCAGTATCGCCGCGGCATCGCACCGTGAGGTCGCGTCATGACAGCCTCGAGAGAGTACCGTGAGAAACTTATCGACGAGGTTAAGAAATACCCAGTGTTGTACGACACACGACACGAGAATCACAGAGATATAGACGTCAGGGATCGCTGTTGGACTGAGATATCAAAGCGACTGGGCGCTAATTGTAAGCTTATTGTGTGCAACAAACCTATTTACTTGTTATTTTTGCTCGCGATAATTTCACAAATAGATTGTATAGCATTCATTGTTTATAAAAGGTTCTAAATTGTATAGTATTATTTTAAGAATATAGAAAGCTATAGACTTCGCTATGGTTATTGTTGAATGTAGAGGTCGCTGTAATCGGCTAGGATTTCATGTTTAGAAAGATGGTCATGTGCAAAAATTAAATGTTAAACACATCTATGTATAGAAATTTTTATAACCTATTTGAATGACAATACGTAAGATGAAAATATTTATAATTTGTACGTACCTACGTTTGCAATATCACGAATAATAGGTATGAGAATTAATTAACACCTACATTTGGACCGAGCTAAACAAGTTTGCATATTTTTTGTTAAGTTTCTTGCTGTAATATTATAATTATAGATTAAGTTATATAAGCTGTGATTATTATATAGTCTGTAAACGAACCCACAATTAATAAGTGGTATGAATTATAATATAAAAATATTAACAAAAAAATTTAAGTTATCAAACTACTATCGCCATCTAGTGACAGTTGACGACAAAAAATGCAAACAGGTTATGTTTGCAGCATGCAGCCGTTTTGGAGATACCTTCTAACAACCATCGATCCATCCATCTAAACATTCGCATATATAATTTTAATGAGATTTAAGATAGTTTTTTTTTATTATAAATTATTTTTTAAACAGATTTTATTACGAAACTATAATTTTTTAATATCAAGTATATGTTTTAGGTGAAATTTTAAAACGGGAATGGAAAATATTGCGGGACTCTTTGCGGCAGGCGCTCAAGAAGTCTAGAAAAGGGACGAGGACTAAAGCTGGTCTGCCGTGCAAGAAATGGCGCTTCCAGAATCGGATGTCATTTGTATTACCACATATGATGATACGAGAGTAAGGAATTATATAACCAGCTATCGCTCACGATTCCATCCATGCGGAATTAAGAAAAAACTTAATTAGTAGCCTATGTGTTCCTCCAGACTATGCTGTATTTTAATTACAAATTTCACCAAGATCCATGGAGCTGTTCTGTAGATAACTTCAAACAAACATCCATCCGTCTATCTAAACATACGCATTTATAATATTAGTAAGATTAAAATAATTTTACGATCGATTTCAAGGATTGAATATTAATTACTATGGTAAGGACAATCGCTTAGTCGAAAGAAGTTCTTAACTATAAATGAATAAAGAAATTAAAACTTATTTTAACAGGGACAACAGAACAGCGATAGAAGATAGTAAAATCGATGATATGGAGATGCAATCCGAAGCTGAACAGGAGTTATGGGAGCCTAGTACATCAGACAACGACTCCTTAGATTTATTCTTTGCCAGCGTCTGTCAGAGTACAAAACGTTTGCCCACAAAATACCAGAACCAGATAAAAAAGCAAGTTTTAGATATACTACTACGTGTTGAAGAGGAACATGATAATGAATCTAGTTTAATACAAGAAACTAAAACAGAACGTTTGGGACATACATGACGAAAATAATCCGAGTTTAACATAGTTCAAGTTCGTGTACAAGAGTGACATACTGTACTGACTTTCATTTGGCGAGGTCTTGACACATTTTTTCTAGATCCGTTAAAAACTGCTACGCTAAGGCGGACTTAATAGACAATTAGAATACAACTAAAGGAGTGTTTACACTGCACTTGTTTTTATTCATCATCAGCTCACTATATGTCCCCACTGAGGGGCTCGGAGCCTACCCTATGTGCAGGTTGCATCACGATGTTTTCCTTCACCGTAAGAACGTCAGATAAATCTACATATGTAAATCGAAAAACATTGGTACATGGCGGGATTCGAACTTAGGACCTGCAGATTGCAAGTCAAGTGCTTGACTCCTGTACTACCGACGCTTGTTTGAAACCGAATTCAAAAAGGAGGTTCTTAATTTGTCTGTATATTTTTTGTTCGTCGATAACTCCGCCCCTAGTTGTCAGTTTTTCATAATTCTTTTTATGTTAATGTTCCAATTTGTAATTATAGGTTATAATATGTAGAGATAAAATAGTATTAATTTAATATTATTAAATGGTATATTAAATTATTAGAATTTACAACGAAATGTTTAGTTGAATTTTTTATAATTAACTACATATCTATATTTAGAATATAATGTATTGATCTCAATTTAAAATAGTATTATAATAAATATAATTCAAGATTTTTTACTTATTTTTTTTATATCATAAGGTGGCGAACGAGCGAGCGGCCACCTGAAATCGCTGAATAACGAAGTGACCGTTGCCCATAGACATACGCAATTGCATATGCGTTGCCTACCTTTAATCGACGGAGGAGAGGATGCACAGAAAGAAAATATTTTCCCTTCCCATGCATCCTCTCATCCGGAAAGTCCACTTCCACTTCCCATCCTATCCTTATAAGGAAAAGGGTGGGAAGGGAAAGAGGACTAAATTAGGCCTCCGGGACGCACACTCATCAGACGAAACGCGGAATAGCTTCCACTTGACGCCTGTCTTCTGTGTGGTCGTGGTATTTCACCGGGCGAGCCGGGCCAATTCGTGCGAGGATGTTAAAAGACACAGAATACGACAAGAATGTTAAGGAAAGAAAGTCGGGCATAAAGAAAGAGTTGTATAAACTAAGTAGCTGTCGCCCGCAACGTAAATAATAAAAACGTAATTAGTAGCCCATTTGTTCATCTAGACTGTGTTCCATGTCTATGCCAAATTTCAGCGGTGTCCATGCAACCGTTCTGGAGATATCTTCCAACAAACATCAATCCATTCATACATCTAAACATTCGCATTATAATATTAGTAATTGATTTAGATTCCGGTACTTTTAAAAATATTTAGAAGTTAATTGTTTGATAAAAATAATTAATTTGTTTGGCATTTACTTAACATTATAAAAAACCTTTGAATCAGATTCTCATTATAATACATTAAAACTTTTTAAAATTTCAAGGAAATTTCTACGTAAAACTTGACTAATTAATTCTCCTCAATAAACGAAAGTAAGTGATTAAAATTGTTAACAAGAAGATTGAAACAAAGAAGTCGTTAGAAGTGAAACTTGCGACGGAAAGTAAAGACATAAAAGTTTATAAAACGACTCCGGACAAAAGCAGAGAGCCGGGAGCTCTTTGTCTTGTTTAATTTATATCCCCCTAGCCACCGCCCTCTGCCGGCGGGTAACTGCAGATGTATATACGATAAAAGAATAACAGTTCACTTCTCTTTAAAAAAAAAAGGGATTTTATAATTGTTTCCTATGTTACATATAAATATTCATCATCATCAGCTTAGTACACGTCTCCACCGAGGGGCTCGGAGCCTACTTAAGGGTGATTAGGCCATAGTCAACCACGCTGGCCCAGTGCGGGTTGGTTTTCACACATATCTTTGAATTTCTTCTCAGATATGTGCAGGTTGCATCACATTGTTTTCCTTCACCGTAAGAACATCAGATAAATGTACATATGTAAATCGGAAATCGAAAACACATTGGTACATGGCGGGATTCGAACCCAGGCCCTTCAGATTACAAGTCAAGTGCTTGACCCCTAAGCCTCCGACGCTCTCAAAGCTCAAAGAAATCTTACTGATGAATATTTGTTAGAAGGTATCTCCGGAACGGCTTACCTTGATGAAATTTGACATAAATATAGAACATAGTCTTCTTCTTGAGGTGCCTCTCCGACTAGCGAAGGTTGGCGTAGTCGCAAGTTAAATAATTTAACGACCTACTTTCAATTGCTGAAATAATTACATTTAAATAATGTAATCATAACCGATTCAAAATAAACACAAAACAACAGTTTAAAAATCAATTCTCTACTTTAATTTAAATCGTAAAATTACGACCTACATTCAATACTAAGCGCAGTTTTAGATGTAATAAAACAAATATACATTAACGACGGGGCGTCGATTGCGTTTAGCTAGGGTGACAATAAATGCCCCATAAATAATGGAGGCACGCGCCCGAAACGTGCGTGAATCATCGCCAACTTCCGGCGCGAACTGGCGAATACAGTGGGACTGGTGAATGGCGATATATTATTTATTCTTTCACCACAGTCACTGCACCAACCCTAGATGTCAACGCAATCCAGGATGTCGCTCGTTATTTTTATGTTTCGTTAAATAAAGCTATCTTTTAAATGTTGAATTAAGTTTTATGTATGAGTTTAAATGACATAGAACAGATTTTTATTCACATAATTTGTTATTTCTTACCAATTGTATACTGTTTCACACAGCAACTGCAGTTTTAATACTCTTTTATTGATTATGTCACGTGAACAATATCGTATGACCTTGGAAAAAAATAATAGTTACTGTGTATTAATCTTGAATCTTTCTGACTTTAAATTTATTTTATAATATAATATCTTACTAATGTTAAAGTTTAGATTTATGTATAGATGTTTGTTATAAGGTATCTGTAGAACAGATTAACGGATTTCAATCAAATTTGGCATAGATGTAGAACATATCTCCTCCTCATCTTTTCCTTCCCACTCTCTTTCTTATAAGAAAAGGATGGGAAATGGAAGTGGACTATCCGGATGAGAGAATGCATGGAAAGGGAAAATATTTTCTTTCTGTTCACCCTTTCCTCCGTCGATTAAAGGTAGGCAACGCATATGCAATTGCGTATGTCTATGGGCAACGGTCTCCTCGCTATTTTAGCGATTTCAGGTGGCCGCTCGATCGTTTGCCACCTTTTGACATAAAAAAAAATAGTCTGGAAGAACACATAGGCAACTAATTTAGTTTTTATTAATACCGTCGCGCGCGGAGACTTGGGCTACAGCTAGCGATGCATAAAGAGGAAAATATACATGATACGATGGGAGAAAGACAAGGTATAGTGTGACCAGGATGTAATATAATAAACGAACAAATACTAATACTTCAAACATTAAAAACTAAACAAATAACATATACAAAACCTATGTTATTACGTATAATTCTAGTGTTAGCAGTAATCAAAGCTTGATTTGCCATGTCTGTGTTCATTACAGGATCAATTTCTCATCTTCCCGACGATTTATAACGTACCAGCGCTAATAAATCAATCCCACGAACATAACTTGCCTCCCCGTGGATTGACAAATACATAACTATAGATTATATAAGAAACAATGGAAGAACGTCAAATACGTTTTAGGACGTTCTCTTTATTGACAAACGAATGGAAACCCTTAAATTAACGCTGTGAAAGGGTTCTAGGCTGAAATTTTATAGTTTTTCATTGCCAAAACACAAAAAACTGAGGAATTAGACCTACTTCTTTATAAAGTCAGCTAAAATGTAAGACAAAATTTTATTTTGCTTTTAATTTCTTTAGAGTTGCTTATATAAGAAAATGCTATAAATTAATAATAAAGCCATGAATAGTAGAAACTAATATAATTGTTTTTAAGTAGTATTAGTCTCGACTAATGGATTTTTTCAAAACATTTGTGCAAATAAATATTTATACTGCCGTCTCTCTCATTCTTTGAAGAAAAATAGAAATAGCAATATGTTTCAATTCCGATGTGACAGTGTATCACACGGTTAGGTTTTGTGACGACGGTTGTGATCCGATAGCTTTTTGTACGTGACTGTGCAAAGATTTCCCGGAAAGTGAATGGATTCATACATATTGTATGTTGAATCGCCGCGCCGTGTGAAGGGGCTCTTATCAGCCGTGCATATTTCAAGAGACATGGCTCCGGGTAAGGGGGATTATTCGTAAACTTTTGGAAAGGATTGTAATGCGCTAGAGTAGGCAAGTCGGGCAGATTATTCTAGTTCCAGACATGCCAAATGAAATTGCTACTATTTGGTAATATTTAAAATTGCTCGTCTAGCGTATTTTTTATTTAATCTACTTTCGACTGAACTCGATACTAAGATGATATGGATTCGAAAGTTACGTTTTTAGGATCGAATCAATACAAAAATATATTTCTTTCTAAACTATTTATGTGATTTATTTTCTGTCGTACATCACTTTATATATAAGCCTAAAATTACTAACCGTGTGTTTCTGAGACTAAAATTCCCTGTCATATTTAACAAAACAGAGATGACAATATGTTTTAAAGGGCGGTTTTTGTCTCAGAAAATCACGATAAGTAACTTGTTATTTTAACATTAGCTTATTAGGTATCAATTTTAACTCAAGTAGCTGACGCCCTGGACTCCGTCTTCACGGAATTAAAAAAAATAATAACAAGCCTATGTGTTCTTCCAGACTATGTTCTACATTTATGCCGAAATTTAACAAAATCCATTGAGCCATTTCAGAGATACCTTCAAACAAACATACATCTAAGCATTCGCATTTATAATATTAGTAAGAAGTAAGATTGAGTCATCTAAACTCTGTCACGTGTACATCAACGTGTTCCCCTTTGTCACGAAGAAACGTGCAAGTTCAAAGACCTCACAAACACTTATTTTTGCTATTAATAAAAAAAAGAAATACATTAAAAACTGCACAATTGCATATAAATTGCTGAACGGAGCCTAGTTTTTTTTAACTCTTGTATCCGGTAATTAATTAATTAAAGCATTTTTTTAAATGTCAGTCGTTTGCAAAATTAACATCAGCCTGACCTTTTTTCTCTGCGTTTTGTCAGCAAAGTACATACTACTCTTTTATATATCTCTATCAGCAGTTACATCTAAATTCACTACCTTCTTACGCATAATCTTCCATACAATCCGTCCATACAA